TGAAAATGTTAATATGATTAATTTACAATACTGTTTGTAAAGTAATATTTTCCGTCTTTTGGTAGACATATTATATGAGAGACTTGCTTTGTTGACTGTATAAGTGGATCTAATTGATTTGCTTTGTAAACATTAGATACAAGTTAAAAAGGTAGTATTTTTACTTCATATATGAAGTTTTTGTTATGACACTCCTAAAATCCTTCCACATAAATCCACAGATTTTATTTTATATATATATTTTTTTTTTTACAAAATTCTGCACAGAAATAGCAAAAAATGTCAGCAGATATTGTCTGGCCCTACTTATCAGCAACTAATCACCTTTACACTGCTGTTAATACTTTTTTCAACAAGCAGATGTGATCGTACACACAAGGCCGCTGCATACCAAAATGGAGCCCTAAGCTAAATTTTACTGGGGTGCTCCCACCGAGAAACAAAACACACACCCACCCATATATATGTATACACACTGAATGTTATACTTAAACATTAAAATCTTTACACTATGAAATAATAGTTTACATTCAAATAAACACTGGCGTGTCTTCTGCAAGAACATTCCTAATTTCAAACATTTACAAAAGGTAAGAAATAAAACCCTCTCTGTACCTGTAAAGCTGGTAGATGGAATATCCTCAATGCAGCATCCTGTGTCTGTATCTGTGCAGCTGCTGGGTTTCTCAGTGATGCCACCTTATCTTCCTTTGTGTCAAATTGCAGCACTGAACCTGAATGACATTGTCTATAAAAAATAAGACATTTCTTTTAAATAGCATATGGCTTATTAGTACAGTAATTTGACTAATTTTATAATTTTGAGATTTTTCAGAAATATTAGTCAATTTGGTCACACTGTATTTTGATGGTCCATTTGAGAATTACTGTCTGCTTAAAATCTGTTGATACTGCTCCTTTAACAGACATTTAACTGACTATAAGAAACTGTGCAAGTACATGTCAACTTACACTAACCCTTACCTCAACTCTAACACCAACCTAACATCTCCCTATAAACTAATAAGAATTTATTGGCATGTAGATGCAATGTAACGTAAATTCAATAAATGGACCATTAAAATGAAGTGTGACAGTCAGTTTAGTTTTATAGTAATTTACAAATAGGAAAAAAAAAGACCTGTTAAAACACACCATTCCACAGATGTAAATACAGTGATGCAACAAAATTAGCTTGAAGAGCAGCAATAAAAAGTGCAGAAGATAACTGCACTGAAATATAATCAATACATACAGTGAAATAAATGTCCAATGCGTTTGTATGGTATGCAAACAGTATTGCACAAGTTAATAATCATATAATAATAACGGCTTGGTTTATTATGAATAGTCATAGTTCAAAACAATGCACGGCAGCAAAGCAATTATAGCTCATTACATAGACTGAATGTAAACACTTGTGATGACGTTAAAAGTTCATTAGCCTCAATAATTGACTTGAATAAACAAAAATATACTGTTATTAGGTTAACGCACATACCTTTTAGTGATGCATTGGATGTCTTGTATTTTTCCCCTCTTCTCAGCACTAGACAGCTGTTGTTTTCTCCTGGCATAGCAGCCGCAAAAACAAATGGGCCGGGCCACACATATGAAAGCAAATTCACGTTTTTGTTGTTTGTTATATATAAACATGTTTGTGTTTGCAGTTTGTTATAATTATAATTTTTTTTGAACAACCAATATGGAGCCCTATGCAATCTGTGTACTCTGCGAATAGGGATCGGCAGTGGTGTATAGATTTACATTTTTTGGGGGAAATGACATTATTTAACTGTAAATAAACTATTTTACTGTAAGACAGTTATGCAGTATTACTGTATAGTTGCACTGTGGAAATTAGTATTTTACAGTAAAGATATACAATACTGTAAATACATAAAGCAAGATAAGTTGTGCTGTTAATACAGTACTTTTGCTGTAATTGATTTACAGTAAGTTACTGGCGAACTGCTGCCAGTAAGTTACAGTAGATTCTACAGGAAATTGTTAGCGGTGTAACATTCCGCCATTCATGAACACTTTGGAATACAGATCCAAGATGACAATTCACTTTCTTCGTTTGAAGACAGTTATTAAATTTCTAGTTCCAGTAATGACAATTAACAAATATGTCCAGGAGCCGGATACCAATTTTAAATTTTGCAAACTACCATAAAACACTCAATAGGAATGGTACAAAAATTACAGTCGGTAGAGATCAAACCTTCACCCTGGCATAAATAGGCCAAGAAGGCATTTATGACTGCACAGCGGAGCATCAATTTTTCTCACCGTCTGAACAAATTGGTTGGATTAAAGCAATCAGATACACAAAAGTGTAAATCTTGAGTGCGCATTCCTCTCACAGTCTCGCTACTTTGTCTCAAACCTATTTAAAGCGGATCTCCTGATGAGGCCAAGCAATTAGACTCATCCCTACAGGCTCTCCAATCTTCTGCCTCTCCTCATCTCATGACAGAAAATAGAGCTGCACTCTGCCTGTTTATCATTTCAAATGATGTGGTAATTTTCTGCCCTAAATTATAGGTGCGGCGGATGATTATTCCGGCATTGTTTAGCAAGCCTGGATGCCTTGGATCAGGCTGATGCTTACATGCCTCCCTGCCGATTTCTGAACGCAGAGAAATAGGACTTTAAAAAAAAATAATAATAAAAAAGAGGCTAGACTTTATGTGTCAGTGCGTCAATTAAGTGACTCAATCATATGACAGTGACAATGACTCAGATCATGGCAAAAATATTTAAAAAAAATAGTGACACATAGAATCACAGTCTGTCTCAAATGTTCAACTATACAGTGCCTGTAGTAATTCATCATACCCCTATGAAATTTTCACTTTATTTGTCATACAAATTCCCATGCCAAATAACATTTTTCTAATCTGTACCTTTCAACAACTTTATCCCGAAGGTCTTTTGAAAGCAGCGACCGGTGTAATATGAGTAAAACAATAGATTTAAACAGGGTTTTCTGTAGGCACTATAAACTCACCTTATCTACCTCCACTCACTTTATTAGGTACACCTGACCAACTGCTCGTTAACGCAAATTTCTAATTAATGAGTCACATTGCAGCAACTCAATGCATTTAGTCATGTGGACATGGTCAAGATCATCTGTTGCAGCTCAAACTGAACATCACAATGAGCAAGAAGGGTGATTAAAGTGACTCTGAACGTGGCATGGTTGTTGGTGCCAAAACGGGCTGGTCTGAGTATTTCAGAAACTGTTGATCTACTGGGATTTTCACACAAAACCATGTCTAGGGTTTACAGGGAATGGTCCGAAAAAGAGAAAATATCCAGTGAGCGGCAGTTCTGTGGCCGCAAATGCCTTGTTGATGCCAGAGGTCAGAGTAGAATGGCCAGACTGGTTCGAGCTAATAGGAAGGCAACAGTAACTCAAATAACCACTCGCTACAACAGAGGTATGCAGAAGAGCATCTCTAATAGCACAACATGTCCAACCTTGAGGCAGATGGGCTACAGCAGCAGAAGACCACACCGGGTGCCACTCCCATCAGCTAAGAACAGGAAACTGAGGCTACAATTCACACAGGCTCACCAAAATTGGACAATAGAAGAATAAAAAAACATTACCTGGTCCGAGAAGTCTCGAATTCTGCTGCAACATTCGGATGATAGGGTCAGAATGTGGCATCAACAACATGAAAGAATGGATCCATCCTGCCTGGTATCAACGGTTCAGACTGGTAGTGGTGATGTAATAGTGTAGGAGATCTTTTCTTGACACACTTTGGACACATTACTGTCAGTTGAGCATTATGTCAACGTTGCAGCCAACCCGAGTATTGTTGCGGACCATGTCCATCTCTTTATGACCACAGTGCACCCATCTTCTGATGGCTACTTCGAAGAGAATAACACGCCATGTCATAAAGCAAGAATCATCTCAGACTGGTTTCTGACATAACATGACAATGAGTTCACTGTACTCAAATGGCCTCCACAGTCAGCAGATCACAACCCAATAGAGCTCCTTTGGGATGTGGTGGAACGGGAGATTCGCATCATGAATGTGCAGCATATCTGCAGCAACTGCGTGATGCTATCATGTCAATATGGACCAAAATCTCTGCTTAATACGGAAAATTAAGGCAGTTCTGAATGCAAAAGGGGACCTAACTCGGTACGAGTAAGGTGTACCAAATAAAGTGACCAGTAAGTGTATACTGTATATACACCTTCAAATAGAAAAACTACTTAAATTCTCAGTTTCTCTAGATTTACAATTGATAGTTGTATGAAATATTTCAATAAAACCTAAATTTTGTTTGTAAAAAATTTGTTTGTAAACTATAGATCACATTCAGTTCAAAAGGAAAATGACAATATTGTCATTTAGAGCAGTGATTCTCGACCACATTCCTGGAGGACACCAGCACTGAATGTTTTTGATGTCTCTTTTGTCTGTCACACCTATTATAGATCTTTCAGTCTCTGCTAACGAGTCGATGATCTAAATCAGGTGTGTTTGGTTAAGATGAGATGACATGGAAAATGTGCAGAGCTGGTGGTCCTCCAGCAACGTGGTTGAAAAACACTGATTTAGAAGACTTTATGGTTGATAAAAGTGCCATGTTTTCAGCTTTTTATATTTATATAAAAGTTTATATATTACATGTCAGTTCATATTCATTTTTAAACAACACAAGATCATTGTGCTCAATATGAAATCAATAATTGACAATTATTCTGACCAACTGTCACTTTCTGAAAATAAAAAAAATAACCAAAATTACAACAATTTTATTTAAAAATTGGGAGAAATATAGTCACATCTCTAAAAAAAAAACAAACATTAACATTCTACTCAAACCAACACCTATTAGAACACCTACCTAGAAATGGACCTTTTAAGTGCAAACAAAATACAACAATTTTTCAGACCTCATTCCTAATTTTTGCAATGACAAATCAGAAGTAAACAAGCGGTGGAAGCAGGACCGCACATGGATCTTACAGTATGTTTTATTTCTTCCTAATTCCTCGCACAGTAGGTTTTCGCTCCTCCATTTTGTCTTCCCCACATGCTCCCACACACCATCAAACCCGTGATTCATCATCGCAAGCATCCACCCAGTTCACATCCTGCCATTCAGTGCCAACAAAGAGATAGACCTGTTTCAAGTCCCTCACCCTTCCCCTTTTTCCTTTTATGCCATCTTAGATAAGGGCACCGGGCTGCGTGCTGCGATCGGCAAATTCAATTACCCGTCTGTTACATAAGCATTTGTTCAGTAATTCAAACGAATAGTCCTTTGGGTGTCATTAGGCATCTGGCGCACAGTTTTACTGACGTGGTAATGGAGAGTCTTTATCATGTGAGTGGCACATATTAATGGTTGGTGACAAGGTGATAAACAGAAACAAAAGAACGTTGACAAGTGGAAAAAACAACAACACACAACCCCATAAACTTTAACTTTGTGCTATATTTTTGTGTGTGAACAGTTTTATATCTTGAAAAGCAGAAAGTGGTTAGAAAGAAACAACAGTTTTGAATTCATATGCATAAAGGATTAAAGTAAACAGATAACCGTAGTTTAAATATACAGAAAAGACAAATATCAGAGATGTGCGGTAGTGATTTCTGAACGTCTATTCTAAATCTAGCAGCACAAATGGGTTCAGTCTTCCATATATGAGCTTATGAAAACTGTCTATCATCGCTGTTAAAAGCAGCACTAGTGTTCTGGGATAATATATTATGTGCCATATATGATAAAAAAAAGTACAAAAAAAAAAAAGAAATTTAGCTATTAAAAAAATAGACAATAGTGTATGAAAAGTGCATTGATTAAAAGACAAACCCTAAAGATTATAAACACTGGTTTGATTAAAAATATATATATAATGAAACAAAAAATTCCTTCTGGCTCATTTGGCCATTCTTGTACGAAGACGTTTCTTGATAAGGTTTTCACTCTCTTTGTCCTCTGGATTTCGGCCAATAATCTACAAGGAAGTCAAATGTCAGCATGTCATTTCAGACTGAAATTCAGTGTAAATTTTATAGTATTTTAAAGCACAATTTTGTTCAAATTTAGTCTGTGGTCAGTAGGAAAAAAATATAGCTTTATGATTAAGATGACAAATAAATAATTTTATTCTAAGCTTTTTATTTATCAAAGAAAACCTAATAGTCACAATTTCTACCATAATACTAAGCAGCACAACTTTACTTTTTTTTATAATTTTGATAATAAAATTAGCATAATGAGAATGATTTTTGCAAGATCATGTGAAACTGAAGACTAATTTATCACAAAAAAAAAAATTGAATACATTTCAGAATAATTAAAAAATCGTAATAATAATAATAATAATTAGGGCTGAACAACATATAGTTTTAGCATCAATATCGCAATGTGATCATTTGCAATAGTGGCATCGTAGCATAGGCAATGTTGAGTTTGTATTATAATTCATCATTTGCACATGTTTTTGATGCATGTGATTGTGTAATGATTTTAAAAACATTCTGAAATTGCACAATTTGTGACCTTTACTATGATCATTTTTATAATTTAGTTGCAGTACTTGAATACTATTAGACTCAAAAAATAATAAAACACTTACAATTGTATCTTTTTTTTGATTGTGTTTATATATTGTTATGAATGAAAATACTCACAATACATGCATTTAGAGAAATGCATTGTGAGTAGCACAGACAACAATGAAAATTGTGTAGATTTATTTTATTTGAATTTATTTAAACAATTTTATAGCCTGTTTATTAGATTTTATGGAGATGAACTCCCACTGCAGAATCATCAATCATTATAAATTCCTTCCAAATAGAGATATTAAGTCTTTAGATTTATATTAAGTATTTAGAGATATTAATATGGTTAAATTGTATTCATATTGCAATATATAATTGCAAAAGAAAAAAAATTCACATTGCTAGATTTTTCCAATATAGTGCAACCCTAATAATAATAATAAATTCTTAAAGACCCCAAACTTATAGTTAGAGTTTACCACTGCTTGCCATTACCCGATGAGCCGGTATGTCCATTGGTGAGGAGATATCGGGTCTGTCATATTTCCGTTTATCACGTTTGGATTTCAGTTTTAGAGAAGGAGTCGACCCACCATCAGGGGATTTTCCACTCATCAATCCCATGATCCTCTTCGCTGTGACAGAGAAAGAATGTGATTGACAAATATGATGCCTGAGTATGATGAAGTCTTGAGAGAGAGTGAGTAATAATGGTGTAATATGTGTCATCCTGACCTTTACTCCCAAGAAAGGTGGGAGAGCTCTGAAGAAAATCTCCAATCTTCTGGAGCGTTTTGTCTTTTTTCCCTCTTTGGTTTGACTCCTGGGAATTTGGGGACTGAGAGGACGGAGAACAGAGTTCATCACTTGCTGTAATCACTCAGCACAGCTATGATCGGGATTCACAGCTCTCCCAATCACAGTCTCATGTGATGCAATGATGGTGAGGCAATTTCTCTTGATGAAAAGCATTGATTAACCAGATTGAAAATGCATTGAAATGTATGCTCAAAAACCAGAATCAGAAAGTTTTTGCTGGTTTATTATTTTAATTTGGCCAATAAATGTTCCAGACTTGCATTCAAATTTGCATTTTTTTTTTACCAAGAATGTAAATGAAGCATTAACAGAGGCCAGAGATGGGCTCCAAGGAAAAACACAAGATATTCTCTATTTATATGAACAAATATTGACCTTCATTTCGCACTCCCCGAGAACACAATGTTCTCAACCATAAAGACAAAGATAAACCTTTTGTGTTTTGAACAATTTTCATTAAAGCTCATTATTAAGTGATAACCTGAATATTATTCCCACAAAGTCAAAAAAGTGAGCAGATTGAGCATCACACCTCATTGTGTTTTTGCTTTCTATGTAAAAATTACACCCATCTACCTATCCTTAATCGCTACCTGCCCAAGCCAAAAAAATACAAAATTGGTAATTATAAACCGTGATGGGCAATATATTGTTTGCATACTATAAAAAATTCTTCCCACAATAAAAATTAGTCTCATAATAATGATGCTAAAACTTATAGTAAAATCTGTGAAAGCAATGAGTAAATGTGCTACAGAAGCATGCTTAAGATACAGATTGATGCATGTATGAGCTGGTTTACAAACTCATGACATCCACTTTCACTCTAAAAAGCATTTGAAATAAATTTTTTGTGACCAAGCGCATATCCCAGAATAATGAAATCATGTAATAAAGACTAGGTCAGTTAGCATTGAATAATAAATATACATATAACAGATAAATATACATAAAACAGATAATCCATATATTACAGCAATCCTTTAGTCATCATATTTTTCTAAATTTATTTGTCTGTCTTTTTAAATGTTTCTGTTTTGCTTTCTAGCATTCTTTTTTTGTGTAAAAAAAAAACAAGGAAAAATAATAGCTTCCTCTAAAGATACCGGATATTTGTCTCTTAGTGGATACATGTGAATTATTTTCATTGATATCATTATCAAAATAACCAGAACATTTTGTTATAGTGCATATATATGTGTGTATATAACTCCTCTCCAATTGTCAACAGTTATGATCAGTGCCTCACCATTTATATATACACAATATCTACCATTTTAAAACCTTATATCTGACACCTTTTCAAGCAAGAATCTCAAATTCATTGGTCATTAGATTGAATACTTTACGGACTTTAGTACTTCACACATACACTACCTGACAAAAGTCTTGTCGCCTATCCAAGTTTTAGGAACAACAAATAATAATTTGACTTCCAGTTGATATGAAAGGCAAAGGCCTCTAGATTATGCTTGTTTTACTAAAATAAATTATGATCATGCCTTGATTTTTTAAATTATTTAATTAGGACAGTAAGGTCTGACTTTGCTTTGACAAAAGTCTTGTCACTTAACAGAAATAATGTACAGTATAGAATATAAAGTCATGGGACAGTGGAAAAATAATTCATACCATGTATGACTCCCATAAGCTTGGAGGACTGCATTGCCGGCAGCTAGCTCTTTGCAACTCTCACATGGTCGCCCACTGAAGCTAAGCAGGGCTGCGCTCCAGGATAGGAGACCACATGGGAAAGCTAGGTTGTTGCCGGAAGTGGTGTTAGTGAGGGAAGAAAGGGGCACCCAACCTGCGGTCTGTGTGGGTCCTAATGCCTCAGTATAGTGACGGGGACTCTATACTGCTCAGTGAGCGCAGTCTTTCAGATGAGACGTTAAACCGAGGTCCTGGGTCTCTGTGGTCGTTAAAAATCCCAGGATTGTCCATCATGGCCCCCTAACCCTCCCCATATCATAATTGGCTTCATCACTCTGTCTCCTCTCCAACATTTAGCTGGTGTGTGGTCTGGCGCAAAATGGCTGCCGTCGCGTCATCCAGGTGGATGCTGCACACTGGTGGTGGATGATGAGATTCCCCCCTACGTGAAAAGTGCTTTGAGTGCCCAGAAAAGAGCTATATAAATGTAAGGAATTGTTATTATTATTATTCATACATAAATGCAATGACTCAAATAACATATGAATAAAGTCATCTGGAATGGCAAAGAAAGCGTTCTTGCAGGACTTACACAGTTCAACAAGATAATTTGCAATTATCTTCAATGCCTCCTCCATCTTACACCAGACATGCTCAATAATGTTCATATTTGGTAACTGGGTTGGCTAATCCTGGACCACCTTGACCTTCTTTACTATTAGGAACTTTGATGTGGAGGCTGAAGTATGAGGAGTGCTATCCTGCTGAAGAATTTGCCCTCTTCTGTGGTTTGTAATGTAATGGGCAGCACAAATGTCTTGATACCTCAGGTTGGATGTTGAGATCCACTCAGTAGATCTCTCACACACCCTCATACTGAATGTAACTCCAAACTATGGTTTTTCCTTCACCAAACTTGACTGATTTCTGTGACAGTCTTGGATCCATAAGGGTTCCAATAGGTTTTCAGCCGTACTTGTGATGATTAAGATGCAGTTCAACAGAAGATTTATCTGAAAAATCTACCTTCTGCCACTTTTCCAAATGATCAACTAGAAGTCAAGTTATCATTTGTTGCTCTCACAACTGAGATCGATTACAAGACTTTAGTCAGGTAGTGTAGTGCTTCAATATGAATGTGGTCACTCACCTCTTCCCGATGAGGTGTTAGGTGAGGAGTCAATCTGCACCTTGTATTTCTGATGTTTTCACCTTCCACCGCATCCTAAGGAATAGCAAAGCACAAGAGTAAACAAGTGAATTGGTTTCCTTTTAGACCTATTTTGCATGTTTTATGTCTGCGAAGCGTGAGCCAAAGCAACACCTATAACAGCAGGCTTTTGTTGTGCTTTCACACTTTTCAGCAATGTTTCTGGTGTGGAAACCAACTATGACTCAAAACAAGTCATTTGTAGCTAACAGGATGATATCTTTCTTGTAATGAAGCCTATTGTTTCATTTTATAAAACAGCTATTGGATATGGGCCATTAAAAAGAATGACAAATTTCACTAGTGTGAAATCTATTTTTTTTTTAAATGAATAAGCAAATAAGAATAGTTAGAATTAAATATGAAGGATGATGTGACACTAAAGACACTTGAAATTGTAATACTTTGACTGAACTTTTGAAAGTTAGCGTGGTTGTAAATATGAATATTAAAACATGTTTATGCTCAAATCACTGCAGGTGAAAGGCTCCTACAGTGCTCACCATAAATGAGCACACCTCGTTTTGAAAATTTGTATTTTTATCCATTTTTCAGTGATTATAGGCAGTGTATTTAGGTGCATTTAAACAAAACAGATGTATTAAACAGATATATTTATCAAGATAATATTTTAGTCACCAACCTTATTTAGAAATTAAAATATAATAAAATTAAATTCAAGCAAAATATTGCAAAAAAATTACAATCTACAAAATTACGTTTTTTTTTTTTTTTTTTTTACTTTTTTAATTTTTCCGCTTATTAAAAAATGATTTAATTTTTTTCTGTAACAAATTTTGGTGTACTAGTTTTTGGATCACTAATCACTAATGTATATGTACAAATATAATATTGTATAGCTTCCCATTAGAAGTATGAATTTAAAAGATAGATTTGTGGGGGGTGTGCTTGTAAATGCTGAGCACTGTAAAATAACCTAAACAAAACATTTTTGTTCTTAACATGGGCACGAAAGGTAATATGTCCAGCTCACACTTCACAGACAGTGAAACAGGCCTTCATTGAATTAAATGCTTGGCTGTGATTGGTCAGATAAGATGTGATGATTGTTATGATGATCAATGGTGGGGTGGTTTAAAAAAAATTACCCAGTTCTAGTGGTTAATGAATCCTCTACTTGTGGTCAGATCAACAGGCAATCAAACATCACCTGCATTTACATTTATATGATCCCTAATAATTTTGGAAAAGTCAAGGTTTTAGAACCGCCAAAATTATCTGCTCTTCTGTAAGGTAACATTATTTCTGCTCTATTGTAAGGTATATTTTAGGACAAAAGTTTTTTAGAACATTATCTCCAGCAGAGAAGATACTCAAATATGCTGTTTTAAACTGTAATGAAATCTGTGTTTTTGAAACCAATGAAGACAGAAGTCAATGATTCATTTGAATTATTTAGCCTGACATGTTTACTGCTCCAACATATTTAAAACGTTTCTCAAAATAAAATATATTACCCAGATATTTTAAAAGAACTTATTTTACAGCCATAATCACAATACTATGAAAACCGTGATATTTTTATCCAGGGTTATCATACTGTCAGAATCTTATATCCGCCTATGCCTAGCCCAGTCTGAATAAAAATGTAACATGTAGCCAAATCTTTCAGAAAGAACTGGCCGAGGTACTTTTGCTAATCAATTTGATAGGATAAAAATCTGAACGAGCTGTTGTTGTTGAATTAAAAGTGTGAAAAATGACGAGTGTCATTTAAAAAATGGTAATTCAACTCATGTTCTTTGAAGCAGTTCTGGAGAATGCAGTTCCAGCAGTCTTTTACTTAGACACAGATGCATTGTTATGGTGTGTCAACTGGGAACGGGTGTTTTTATGCTTAATAAGCATGGAAAAAAAAATCTGCAAATAATTAAATATACAGGCTAACATGCACATTTTAAACCATGTCAAAGATGAATCGGATTTTACGCTGGGGGCATATAAACACTACATTCAGAATGATTTCAGTCTGACTGAAACAATAAATATCCACAGAACATACCTTTATACTAAATGCATGTGGATAACATACATGGCGACTCCCTAATTTAAACCTTTATAATCCTTATTGACTTAACACAAATTGGTTTCAGGTCGGCTAAAAAGAGTGGCGGGGAAATTTGTGACACTCAAAAGAGCACAAACCCCTGGGGATTAGTTGACAGATGTAGTGCCAAGAGTGTGCAGTGCATTAAAGCATCTTTAACAAGACAACACAGCATCTGCCCTATCCCTCTCAGTCTCTTTCACACACACACAAACAACTAATACATGAAAAAATAATTAAATCTGCAGAATAAATGAATGATTTAGTCTGAAAGCATTTTTAGTCGCTTTTCAGTGACTCATCAGTTTCAGACGCTTTTTTTTCCCTCTCCGACCTGTCTCCGTTTTCCCTCCACCACCCCCTTTCTGTCGCTATCTTTCCCTCTAGACAACAAGATCGCATCTGTGACATTGCGTGTGACAGCCAATGCCATTCTCGTAACACCCGGCAGTCTAAACGGGGTGGACAGGGGCGGATCTCTGTCTGTCACACCTGTCACCTGCTGTTTCCAGCATCGGGAGGTGAGCTACTTTTGCCCCTCTCTGACTTGCAGGCTCGCATTAAAAGCAGACTAATTCTTTGACTCCAAGGAACCTGCCAAGTCGTTCACCGTTCAATCGCATCCGAGGGAGATGTGTGCGAAATCAAGACTGATGGCTTGTTCTGAAGTCAGGTGCTGGTGTTTTCATGCCATGAAATGGGAAGGTGTAATTACAACAATTCAGAAGTGTTGAGGGTGAACTTGTCACACAATGATTTCAGTTAATTGCATGTGAAAAGTCATTTTGTTAGTGAGTGATGAATTATGGGTCTTTTTTAAGTTTTATAGAGCATCATCCTCCAAAGCCTTTGCCTTTTATGCATCACGTAGAAACGAATGTTCTACTGCTGAGGGCACAGATGGTAGTATCACTATAATGGATCTTTAAAACTATATAGCAAAACCCGCTACATTTCAACACCCCACTTAATAGAAAGGTTGTTATTTCTTTGATGCATAAAAGGCTTAATGGGATAATAACTGCTAAGCTGCATTTCCACCATCAGGAACTCTAATCAAATGGTCTGGATAAAAATGTCACATGAATTTACTGCTAATACATCTACCGGTAGCTGCAAAGGGTTATGTTTCTGCACTTTTACACGTTATGTGCACTTTGTTCAAAGAAGTCTGGATTGGTTATGCGAGTTTAGATGCTAAAAATACTAAAAAAAAAAAAGGCTCCTACTGCATCAGCTTCAGAAAAAAAAAATAAAAATCAGTAACAGGGTATATGCAGGAATCCTAAAAGTAATTTAAATACCTTTTTAAAACTTTTTAAAAGACCTTCTCAGAATATTTTAAGACCTCATCGCCTCTTCAAGTTCTACAAACCTTTCACTTAATAAACAATTGTTAATAAACAGTTGTAATTAAATAAATCAATCGAGCGCAACCATGAAATAGAACTCAGATAAGCTCGGAAGAAACAGAGCTTGAAAGAATAAATTATGCTGTTGTTTTTAGCGACAGGCTTCAGCCACTGTTTAAACTCGTCTCTCCAACTAGAAGAATGCAAACTTACATTTTCCTATTTTTCCACCTGTTTCGCTCTATGGTTTCGCTACATGTGAAGAGCATCACATCACCTTCCCGCATTAGTGACTTCATCCGAATGGAAGAGCTTGGCTGGACGTGGCCCCGCCTGAACCCAACATGTGGATCAAGCATGCGGTTGTTAATATTAGGAGGACAATAAATATATTTATGCTTTTTTGAAGTTAAACATTTTGGACACCACTTGAACTTGAACACCCCGAGTAAAGAATTGTATTAACAAGAATTCTGTGCATCATGTATGGAACCGAAAAGTGTTTACGTAAATGTGTTTTAGAGTGTCTCTATGCTGTTTGCATAGTGCAAGAAAATAGGAGGCATGTTTTTAATAATTTGTGTAGCCAAATCGTCCTAATAAGCAAATAAGAACAAGTCTGTAAGAAACTTAAATCCAAACGTATTATAATAGAATTAAATTAGCCACATATCAAAATCTTGCCTACTTTATTAACTCTATAAACTGGATCTCTCAGACCCAAAGGCGACTAATAAGCATAGCTTAAAATACGTGGGCCTGGGAATGTTTGAAGAGCATGCCTCCTGAAGCAGCCTTTCAAACTCTTAAAGCAAAATAAAACTAGGTTAAATGATGGTTTAGTTATTTAAATATAATAACAATAATAATTTGCTAACCATAATGTGATGCTGGTCATTGTAATACTACTTTGGTGAAAGATAGCAGATTCAAAGTGTACCAAAATATTGCTGTGGTCATCAGTGTCAATTATTATGATTTTAGGACTGAGACATGTTCCATACATAAACAGAATGATAAAAACTTGGATTCATTCCCAGTTGTGAGAGTGTCTGTGGCCCACGTCATCATGAAAAAAGCCATTTGCAAACTTCACTATAAGAATATTCAACTAGAACAGGCCCATCAGTAAATGCCTGGATTGCAGAACTCAATCTGTTCCATCTATTCAGCACAGAGTCGCACCTGAATGCAAAGCTGCATCCACTTTTAATGGAGAAATGGAGGCTAAAGCTTAACCTCTTCTGCATTTTTATTTATCCAAGTGGCAATGATTTTTAAAACTTTATTTCATTTTGGCTTTTACTTTTATTTAGTTAATATTCATTTAAGAGGTTACACCTCTTTTACTGTCTAAATTCACTACTGTTCAAACAATCTTAAATTCAGCAACTAAGCATTGTGGAGAATAAGGAACATCTTTCAAAATCATTCTTACTGATCTTTGAACTGGATTTTATTCACAATATTTAACTAAAGGCTAACATCACATCTGGCATATGTGATGTCTGATGAAAAAATCCTACACAGAAAGACTGGGAAAGTGCATTAAAGGTAACTACAATTTCTAGAAAGTTCTGTCCTTGCATTAGATTACATTATCACGGCTCTGAAAACATGTCTAAAAACAAACTGATTTCAAAGAGAAGGTCCAAATATGTATTGATTATTATGCTTAAAGAAAAGGTTTTCAGCTAGAATTCCAACAGAATTGACCTTATTATTCTGCAATACGGAAGTAAACTAATTTTTGCGATTCAGTTACCTATAGGTGAAATGACTTGAAATAATAAATGTCGTCAAATTGTAGTCAACAGCCAACGTCAAAAACAAGGTCAAATTATATGCTCTACAAACAAATTTGTTCATGATACATAAAAATATTAAAAATATTTTAAAAAATATCAGTTTGCAACATTATGCAGCATAAAAAGCCATTTTAATGTCTAAATCAATTAAATCGGAAGTCTCGAGCCAAAAAGACTCCAATGGCTGCGTCTGCTCGTACATGAATAGTAAGGTCAATATGAGTTTGGAGTGACATGAGGTTAAGATCCTGTATTGTGACTATTATGGATGAGCACACTGTAATATCAATGCTGAAACGATATATTGTGCAGCCCTATTTCCTAAGTTTTAATAGAATTCCTCCATCACAGAATTGCCCACATTGATTTGCTGTAGAGAAACAAATACAGAGAGGCCATAATTAGATAATGTTTATACTTCCAATCTTCAGCTATGTAAGTTAACCCCAGGAAATTAACATGACCCTGAGTGTCTGGGCTGTAAATGTCTGGTTCCAGACTATTAGGAGTCCTAAAGGTGGAAGGGCTGCTGTTTTAGCATTCATCCGGAAAATGTACCTGTGGATTGGGCTCAGAGAAAGCTTTCTTTTTCACAGCGCTGCTCCTGGCTCCTTTCCTCTTCAAGCGAACAGAAATGGCATAAAAATAGTTTTGTGCCATTCAATTACAAAACTCGAACAATTAGCAGTTTCAGAGTCTTGTGAAAGTGTGACTCTGTTGCCAGGGACAACCGGCGAGAGAAAGAGCACACAATTCTTTGACAATAAGAGAGCACTTATTCTGAGTGGAAAGCATTCTTTCAGTGAGCAGCATAACATCTTCACTGCGGTGTTTTGAGAGAACGGCATGACCTACACAGGCTAGAGACTCTTAAGTGCACAGCCACCCTTATAAAGTGTGATTTAATAAAACGTTTAACAATTTTGTTTAGTCAGCATTTATGTCTGATTTGTATTTGTGTGATCGTAATCCCTTTGTCTGAACAATTTAATTAAATTACCATGAGCAGGTTTCTAAAACAAACTATAAACCTACTGTGTATTCTATAGTTATTGTTACTGCTTCCAAAACAAGCGTTTATGAGGTTAGATCGAGGCACGCTCAACCACAAGCACAGAAATATATTTTTACACACAGAACTAATTGCCTAATAGGACTTTCATTTCGCTGGCTGTGCACAATGAACACTGATCGTTAAGTGTAAGTGAGGAAAATTAGAACCTTGTTAATGACTAATTAGGACAATTTATAGAGCTGCTAGCTGTGCATAGTCAGCAGCAGATGGACCGCTGATTTTATGATGAATATCAATAATATATATATATATATATATATATATATATATATAGATGGGTGTGTATATTTAAATCAGCTTAAAGGAGTGATTTTGAGAATTCAGATAACAAATATAATTGTCACATTTATACTCCTTAGTGTTGCTCTTGAAAGAAAATTAGTCTGCTTGACCCCACTTACAATGGTGCGTTGATGGTCATTTCCCAAAAGAGCTGAATTATGATAGAGAAGACATGCTCTGCAAAAACTGCTTTTCTTACTCAGATTTTTTGTATTGTTTCTAGTCCAAATTTCTAAAAATTCTTAAAATCAAGACATTTTTTTAGACAAGCAAAACATTTTGTCATGCATTAAGAAATAATATGCCAAAATAAAGTGAGTTTTTTCTTAAAACAAGCAAAATAATCTGCTAATGGGGTAAGAAAAATAATCTTATGTCAAAAGAAAAAACAAGATTACTTTTCTTACCCCACTGGCACATTATTTTGCTTGTTTTAAGGAAAAACTCACTTAATAGAAGCATATTATTTCTGAAAACAAGACATTATGTTTTGCTAGAAAATGCTTCTTGATATAAGAATTTTTAGATATTTGGACTAGAAACAAGACAAAAAAATCTAAGTAAGAAAATCAGTTTTTACAGTGTGTCAACAATTTGTAGTCACTGTATTGTTTAAGATGACCAAATGGTACAAACTTTAGAATGGGGATGGATGTGAATACAGAGAACCATCTCATACAACAGAATGTAGAAACGGCATTACAGAGAACATCCGTGTCAACAGCCAAGGAGCAACTTCATTACCAACTAGAGGCTGTAAATTAAAACTATATTAAATGTTTGAGTTTAAGAATGTTCAGGGTTCATTCTGACTACGCTGAACCCAGGGTACTACTGTGTACTTTTAGACTGCTATGCTTAATAAACAGCTTCATTGAGATCTTCTACGTCCTCATCACCTTTTCTTCTTTTGTTTTTTTTAAGGAGAAACTTAAAAACATGCTCACGCAAGTAATGGCAAATTAACTCTCTTGTGGAATACAGATATTTTAAAATATAATCCATTATTAATGAAACTCCTGATTTTGACAGCTTATCTTTGTGCATGACACAATTAACAAATTGACATGCATTCACAAATCTATGTTTACACCAATGTGCCCTGATAAAATACTGTACGTGCATTCAAAATTAATATGAAACAAAGCCTATAAATCTCTCAAAATGTATCTATATAGTTTATGTACTGAGTTAAATATCTCAAGACCTCTGGTTGTCAGATGATTTTTAGAATGAATGTTGACAGATGAATGCAATAATCTGTTAATGATGAGCATAACAGGTGTTTACTTCAGAGAACAAAGTGTTTGATTAAATACAGTGGGAGAAAGTATTCAACACGTCACCATTTTTCTCAGAAAACATATTTCTAAAGGTGCTGTTGACTTGAATTTTTCACCAGATGTTGACTACAATCAAAGAAATCTATATATGAAAAGAACACAAATCTAATTAGTTTACAAATCAAGTTATACATAATAAAATGAAATGACACATGAAAAAATTTTTGAACACATGAATAAAGGAAGATGTAAAAAGGAAGTGAAGACTCAGACAGCAGCTAAAATCTCTTAGTAGATCTTCAGCAACCATCTGCCCTTCATTGTGGTAAATTATTATTAGCTGCTTTAGTCCAACATCTACATTTACTGGGATTATGAAGATGAAACCAGTTTGGGCATTTCAGCAAGACAAAATACAAAATGAAACTGAAATGGTTTCAGAGAAAAACCATTAAAATCAAGCTGTAGAATAGCCCAGCCAATCACATTACTCAAATCCAAATAGAAAATACAAAATAAAAGATTAGTACAATATTTATTTCCTCCACTGTATTTATGCTACTTTTCTTAAAAAATTTTAAATAAATTAAATAAAAATAAAGCTGGCATGCTAATGGTAATATAAACACATTGTTTTGCACAAAGACAATTGCCTAAATCAGGATTCATTAAATAATACAAATAGTTTAGTTTTTCACCAAACATGTCACATGTATTGATGCGCCAAGCTGTACTCCCAAGCCAAATCTTAGTGATTAGTATTGGGGCCAAAAAAGCATTTTTTACTCATCAGATCTCTAAAAATTAGGATCTAATATTCAGGATCTTTATTGTCGTTTTTAAAAAATTTAATGCTGGTCACTTCTCCCTCTCTTTCACTTGAACAAAAACTTCACTTTTTGTTGTATGAAAAAAAAGGACAAAAAGCATACAGAGTAAGTGACTTAATTTTTTAGGTCAAATATCAGTTTTATCTTCTATATAATCGGTTGAATAATATTCTACGCAATTTCAAATAGTTCTTGAGGCCAAGAAATAGCAAAGATTAGACATAATGCTAAAGTACAAGATAACTGAAGCCCATTCCAGTCACAGCACTCAATTCTGATTTGTGTGAACCCCGCTCTAAACCCCCTTCATGCGATTAATTTCTCACCTTGTCCATCTCGCCGCTCTTCCTCTTGCGTGTGGGTCTGGAGATTTTAACAGTGACAGCAGATTCTTCACCCTGACGCTTGAGAGCGAAGCGATCGGGCTGTAGAGGACTGAAGGAAATCTCCAGCTCAGGCCTTGGAAACCTAGACCGTCTGCCTGTTTCCGTGGAGATCTCTGATGAATCTAGCACCAGTGGACCGCTACCGGATGAGTTCTGCCATATAAACATTAATATCAACTTCAGTATTATTATCAATGGACTGAGAAATATGTGCATTTATTTAGAAGATGCTTTTAATAATAAAAAAAACAAACAATCTCAGAGAGCTGCTGCAACTGTGAAGTACAACTGATTAGTGACCATTCATTTATTTAACAATGACAAATAAGATTCTCATAACTAAAATGTAAACAGAATAAAATAGCAAGACCAGCGTAACAGTTGGAATGACTGTTATATGGCCAAAAATTAGCCTGAATTATATATCACTTGAAATAATGTGCCGTTTTTAAGGTTCCAGACGTTAACATTTCCGACTTGGATATCTCTGGTACTGTTTCTTCCTATTTCTCTCACAGACTATTTTGAATTTCAATAATAGACTTTCGATTACCCACTGTTTCCCTGAAGCAAGGTGTCCCCCAGAGATCTATTCCCAGAACATTATTATTCATAATTTACATGTCTCTTGGTCAGACTTTACAACGCCATGGTCTAAATGATCAATATTACGCTAATCATGACATCCATTTATACTGTCTGTATCTGTACACCTGCTCTCCCTGCCCAAATTAACAAAATATCTGCTTGTGTGAGCAAAATAAAAGATTGGATTAATTTTAAAAATATCTGAAACTCAGCATGGACAAAACTGAGATCACTTGTACTAGTACTCACCAAGTGCTGTTAAAAATATGGGAGTACTTGATTTTTCTGTCATTACATCAGTGTTAAGTTACTAAAACTATTATCCATGCATTTGTTACATCACATTTTGTTTACTGTAATGCCCTCTTGGTTTACCAACCAGCTCTATCTCCTAATTATAACATTTACCTTTACTATTGTTTTCTTGTTGACTGTTCACTGGAAAGAGTTCTTGAGCATTGAAAAGAGACTATATAATAAAACTTTATCTTAATAGTATTATTTTTAACACTATTTAATGGTTTATGTAAAACAATAAAAGAAATAAGCTAGTTTTACAGCATTATGTTGTGGTTCAATAGTTGCTTAAGGAAATTTAGTACTAAAAACTGTTGTATTTCATAAAAGAAAAACAAATATTGTCTTACACTTTGGGCCATTTGTGCATTTTTGCTAAATAAAGTATTTTTTCCATAGAAAACAAGACATCTTATATATTCAATTTATTTGATTAGTAGTGTTTACATATATTTATGTATATACAAATATATATCAAGCATTTTAATTAAATTTATTCAAGTCAAAGCTAACATTAACTTATAATGAACAGCAGACAACTGTATATTAATCAAAATTAATTTAATTAAGTGTAATTGTTAGTTTGTAATATCATGAGTGATGATACTTTTTCCATGTGGTGTTTATTGTTACCAACATATGGATTGTTCAAATTTTGGGCTTAGTTTATACCTGCTATAGATGTGTTTTTGCAAGGAGAAAACAATAGAAAACACTAAATAATACAGTTATAAATTAGGTCTGGAAATGGTCAAAAGTAGATAAAATCAAAACATTTCAGATGTAGTTATAAATACATTAGACTGGAATGCCTTGGTGGTAAAAAAAAGCCAATTTGAAGAAATGTATTAAAACACCAGGCTCTACTTATGATCCAGTTGGCCAAATTGCAACTAAATATCTGTTTAAACTTAGTCTAAAAGAGATGAATGTGTCAATTTGTATCAATTAGTGTCACAATGTACTCGTGTTTTACCTGACTGATGACAGATCCTCTGGTTCGGCTTTTGTGCTTGATTGTACTGCTGTTCAGAGGCTTCATATCAGAAAACTCCACTTCCATCGTCTAGCACAGCAATTAAGACACAGCCAATCATTCAATGTTCCTCACTCTACATCTAATTACCAGCTCAATTTAATTACCCAGCTATGCCTAACAGAGACATATCACCACAAGCTGGCACAAATGCATATTGAGATATATACAAATCAGACAGTGTGGAGATATATTGATGCACTAGTGCAAGTATTGCAAAGTTCTAAAGCGCACTTTATATTCTATAAACAAGAATTATTCAATAGAAACCATATAAAAGCTCCATTCTTGAACCTCTAGTTCATGAAAACCCAGGATTCAGCTTGCTTACCTTATCTGAGGTGAGTTACATAAAATAGAAATAATGGTTTAAAGGACAAGGCCGGTCTTTTAAACAGAACATTTAGAGTAAAGCCACTTCAAATTACATTTATGCTCTGTCTATAGTGATTATATTTGTGATGAACAGACTCTAATGACACATAAAAGGGAATAGATGAATTGGCAGTAATAAGACACATGTATGTCTGACCTGTGTAGTAGAGTTTCTGCGAATGCTGCTGTTTGTGGCACTGATGCTGAGCTGCTCCTTCAGTTTCTGGATCTCAGCCTCTTTTACAGCCAGCTCTGCCTGCAGTGCCTCGGTCCTGCTGTCCTCACTGACCTCCTGACAGAGAGACAGAATGTTAAAACACTTTAAAGAAGGGAAAATTTATTCAAGAATGAATTACAGAACAATTGGGCAAACAACGAGGTAGCTGTTAGTTTGACTTTGCATATTTCATGCATATTTTCAATAACAAAATTGTTGTTGTCATTAAAGGTATAGTCCACCCTAAAACTGAAATTTGCTCACCATTTACACTCCAAAAAAATCAGTTTATTGTTTGTTCAAACTTCTTAAAATGAGCTGAAATAACACTGTTCTGGGGCATCAAGGTGGCGCAGTGGGTAACAAAATCATTTCATAGCAAGAAGGTCACTGGTTCAAGCCTCAGCTGGGTCAGTTGGCGTTTCTGTGTGGACTTTGCATGTTCTCCCCGTGATCGTGTGGGTTTCCTCCGGGTGCTCCGGTTTCCCAGACAGTCATGTGCTATAAGTGAATTGGGTAAGCTAAATTGTCAGTAGTGTATGTGTGTAAATGAGTGTATGGATGTTTCCCAGTGATGGGCTGCTGCTGGAAGGGCTTCCGCTATGTAAAACATATGCTGGAAAATTTGGCGGTTCATTCTGCTGTGGTAACCCCTGATTAATAAAGGGACTAAGCCGAAAAGAAAATGAATGAATTAATGAACACTATTCAGGAGTTTTAATTGGGGGGGACAACTTAATTTTTTATCTTCAATTAATTTAAATTTGTAAAAAACTCAAATTCCTTTATGTTGTCCCAACACAAATGACCAATAGCCAAAAGCTTCAACAGTCAAACATTTATGAACTCAAACATTAACGAAGAAGAGTAAATGATGAAAGAAACTCAAATGTTTAAGAACTATTACTATTTTTGGGGCAACTATACCGAATAAAATGTAATCTTGAGACATACAGATAACTTGAGTGTTAAATAGGTTACTTATGCCACCGTTTTATTGCTATGTTTTTTTCAGTGGCCTCATTGAGCTTTAGTCATGCTAAAAATAACCTGTCATTTTTATTAGATTTGCTTGGCATCAAAAGAGCTGTATGGCTTTTTGATGTTCTGATCATTTGAATGATATTAAACTGTAGCAGTAAACAAATGTAAACTAGTTCGTAGCAGGAGTGTGGAATATCCATTGACATCAAAACTGGTGTATTGACAATGCTGCATAATTTAGTAATAGGTCACTTAAACAAACAAACAAACAAACAAACAAACAAACAAACAAACACAAATCTTGCAAGTTCAAAACATTCACTATGTTATGAAGCCTATTGGAATGAATGTATAATTATAACTACATTTCAAATATTATAATTTGAGTTACGTTATTAAATCCAAATATAAAAGCAAAAAAGAAATTAGATGACATCACTCTGAGATAGTTAATACTGAGAGAGCGACATTTTAGAAAGAATGTTACTTTTATTTCTGTTTTGAAAACAAAAATAGTTCAAAAAAATGCTGTAGGATTACAATGTTTTCTCTAGAGTATTGAGTGAAACAATAATTCACTTATAAAGACTCACTCACTAATTTGGTTTCTAATTGATTTCCAACATATCAGAATTAACCATGCTTTTATGTCGAGTAATTTTACCTAATTGACTAGTTGGATGGACAAGTTAATAGCAGACATAAAATACAGGTTGAAAAAAGGTTATTTTAATTGTAATGCACATGACATTAAAAACATTTCATGAAATTGTGTATATGATTAAATTCACGAATGATTTATTCCTTAAATAAAGCTAAAGTTTTACAACTCATTAGTCTTCAACACAACAAGATCCTCAAACAAATATGCTGACTTAATAATCAACAAACATTTCCTATCATAATTAATCTAATTAGAAAATGGTTGTCCTTTTTCATGATTCTTCAACAAATAGAATCAATCAAAATATAAAATTTATTAGACACAAGCTGCCACTTTAAAATCAAATACCTTTTTGGTAAGGCTTGACGATATAACCTAAAATCAAAACCACTACTGTAAACTTAACTACTGAGTAATTACTTTATTTTTAATTGAATTACTTATTTTACTTTAATATGCATTAACTTACCCAAATACTAAATTTGAGTTAGTATTTATATGTAGCGTGTCAATTTTCTGATGTATGAGAGACTCGCGTGCACTTTTTATTGCATATACAGATGAAGTCAGAATTATTATTCCCCATTTTTATATTTTTTTCCCAATTTTTTATTATTTCCCAAATTATGTTTAGCAGAGCAAGAACATTTTCACAGTATGTCAGATAATATTTTTTTTTTTCTGGAGAAAGTCTTATTTGTTTTATTTCGGCAAGGATAAAAGCAGTTTTAATTTTTTTAAAATTCATTTTAAGGTCAAAAATATTATCCCCTTTAAGCTATATTTTTTTTAGATATTGTATAACAATGGTTTGTTTTGTAGACTAACTTGCCTCATTATTCTGACCTGCCTAGTTAACCTAATTAACCTAGTTAAGCCTTTAAATGTCACTTTAAGCTTTATAGAAGTGTCCTAAAAAATATCTAGTTGAATATTATTTACTATCATCATGGCAAAGATAAAATAAATCAGTTATTAGAAATAAGTTATTATAACTATTATGTTAATAACATTTTGGAAAAAATCCTCTCTCCATTAAACAGAAAAATAGGAAAAAGAATTAAAAAGGGAGCTATTAATTCAGGGGGGTTAATATATCCGATCTCAACAGTATGAAAAAAAAATCTATAAAAAAAAAATCTAAATGTGTCGCGTCAGATTGCCGAACATATGAACAATACACTGTCTGTAAAACTTTCAATCGCTCGGGTTATCCACATGGCGTAGTATGTTTCTAAAGGAAAAGTATTAACAGGATTACAAAAAAACTAAATAAACAATGTGGGGGAATTACTTTGGTTATAGCAGGGTTTCCGAACCCAGTCCCTGAAAGCAAACCAACAGTATATATTTTCCACTTCTTCCTAATAAAATAGTCACTAGAATCAACTCAAAAGAACATTAGATAAGACTCCAAAATCTGAAATGAATGGGTCATATAAGGGAGACACCCAGAATATGCACTGCTGGTGTGGCTCCAGGAAAAGGGTTGGGAAACACTAGGTTATGATTTTCAGTTGTGTTTTTTTTTTTTTTTTTTTACTAATCCCCCAGCTCCAATTTTTGGTGAAATGAAATATTAATTTAGCAAAGAAAAATCTTACTGACTGCAGATTTATAAAAAAAATAGAAAAAGCAGGAACTTATGAGAGCTGCAAGGGACCCTTCACTGACCTCTGGTGTTTGGGCAGTGTTACTGGACTGCAGCATCTTGATCTGTTGGTCTTTTTCTCCATTGGACATGATGAGTTTCTTCAGCTGAACCTCCAGAGCAGAGACAAGCGTGTCTCTCTCCTTTCTCCACCTTTCCATCTCTTCCTCACGGGCATTAAGACGTGCAGCCAGAGACTCCTAATAGACAAACATTAACAGACAATCATTATCTTTAGAACACATCTGCCTGACATTGACTTTAAAAGCACACTCTTCTCTTTACCATTTCAGCCTGTTGCCGAACATGCCGTTCTCGATCATCTGCAAATCGTCTCATGTCCTGATTCCGCCTCTCCTCAGCTTCTTTAGCCTGACCAATCAGAATCAACTTCTCCTCCATCCACTTCTTGCGTTCTGCCTGCTGCTTCTCATTGGCAAGCTAAAAGCCACGAAGAACCAGAAAAAGACCATGAGCAAACTTCTTTTCTTACACTAAGTGAAATCGAGAATGCATTTGGATCATGGACCTGTAAGCTCTCGTGGGCCTGAGTGATCTGCTGTCTGGCCTGTAAAACATCTTTAGAGATTGGTCTGGAATCACTCCTGTCCCTCTCTTCAGGCAACATTTCTCTCAAACTGGCCAGCTCTGTAAATAAACAGTAAAGTCCAAAAGATTAACAACATAACCATGAGTCTGTTTTAGATTTTAGTTTTTGGATTTTATGGTGTTCAAGGACAACAAAACATCCTGCACGTTTCAGAAAATTTTTGTTAGTCCTAAAACAGCCTATACTGAAATCAAGCTGAAAATTACAGGCTATGTAATAGTGTGACTAAATCCACCTCTGCATATTTAGTATTTGTAATTTAAATCAGTTGTTCAATGAAACAATACTAGGACACACCAAATCTTTTCAGAACCATTGCTTTGTCCTGAAAAACAGGGATATATATATATATATATAAAACATAAAAATAATATATTAATATAACAAGAGTATCAAAACTGGATAACTTTAATAGCCACTATGAGAAGAAAAACAATGGATAATTTAACTCAGATAAATTAGCATATAACCATAACAATAGGGTTGAAACAGTGTCGTTTTCTGTACAATTTATAGACAAAGCACATTTAATAAATGAAAAAATTAAGCTAAAAATAAGTAAAATTCCCTGAAATTCCATGACTTGGACAAAAAAAATAAAAAAATCCCTGACTATCAATGTCTGTAATAGACCTTGTAAAATTCCATGATATTCCAAAAATTCCAAGACCTGTTACAGCCCTGTAACTTGGTCTGAGTAGATTCTGCTCACCACAGAGCATCATTTAAGCCCAAACATGATTGCAATACTCTCCATTTATCCTGTACCTTGAGTGAGCTCATCAATCCGAGCGTCTCTGTTGTCCAACTCAAGGTCCAGCTGTGTCTGTGTTTCCTCCTGTTCTGTCAGAGCCAAGCGCATGTCTTCAATAACACGCTCACGCTCTTGCAGATCTAGAGACCATTAATACATACATTAATAGATGTGTTGCTGCTTGTTGTCACACACGAAACCAATGATGCAGGAGAGATACCTTTACATGCTTTCTGATAGAGCAGCAGATTCTCATCTGACTTTGAACCAGAGGATCGTTCCTGTTTAAGAAAAGCAAACACATTCAAGTCCCATAACAAATTTAATGAATGTTTCGCTACCTGTAGGTTCATTCATTCATTTTCCCTAAGTTTAATCCCTTCATTCATTAGGGGTCACCACAACATATGCTGGATACGCCAACTTATCCAGCATATGTTTTACACAGCGGATGCCCTTCCATTCATATTGGGAAATCTATCTGTAGGTTTAGGTAATCAATTGCTGGACATGCTTACAGCTTTTAACTGGTTAATGGTGCGATCTCTGTTGGCGATCTCATTCTGGAGCTGCACTTTCGTTTTTTCTAGATCGCTGAGCTTCAGTCGTAGAGATTTCTCAGCTTCACGCATGGACGAAATCTAAATCAGAGAAGACACAAAAACAGTTTTAGGACAGGTCAACAGCGGATCGATTCAATGCAAGTTCTGACATGTTTCAGCTCGGACAGTAAAGATGTTCAAAACAGTGGGAGTTCTCACCTCTTTCTGGACCTGCTGTATTTGTTTCTTTGAGTCACAAAGTTTTTCCCGAAGATCAGATGAATCATCTTCCCTTCTGCGCAGATCAACAGTCAGACTGCTCATCTTAAACTCGCTAGTTTTAATCTCCTCTTTTAACCTAAGAGATGAAAAACAAAACACAGGAACACAGAATGAATAACAATGAATCAAATCAAGCCAAGCATATCAATGTGTTTAATTGGAAAACGACACTTTTTAAATCATTAAGTGCTTGCTCAATTAAGAAATGGGTTCGTCTTTTACTTATTCAGTTACAAATAAAACTTTTTACTAATTCTATTATATTTTAACTACTGGCTGATTAACATAGATTTTTTTTAATTATTTGATGTAAAGGCAACTTGCAAGGTAGGTATTAGGGCTGCACAATAGGTCATTTCAGCATGTATATCGTAATGTTTACATGTGCAACAGTCAAATCGCTACATCTTTAATATTGAGTGTGAATATCATGCAGATTTGGTAGTAGTAGTAGGTTTTTCTTTTTAAATCGTTACTATAGTTCTCCACAAACAATGTCAATTCTGTATACTTTTAGAATCATTGTTATATTATATTACCACCCTTGCCAATAGATAAGATCTATGCAGGTAAACCACTAGTTAGGGTTAAAAACAGACCTTTATAGAAAAGGAACCAACCACACTTTTTAATGATAATTATACATGTAAACTGCCTTTTTGTCTAAATTGGGTAAAAGAAAAACACAAAAAGCTATCAAACTACTAAAATAAATCACTGTCTTTTTGTGTGCAAGGATCATTAATCGAAAAGAAGCAGAAATCGTGGGCAATAACTTTGAAAATCAATCAATGGACTGCATTTCAGGGTATAAGCAACACAATTTCTCATGCTGTTAGATGTTATCCTGATCACTTAGTATTTGGACAGACTGTCAGTACTTTAAGGAAAGCTAATTCCTAACACCATTTAGTTCCAAAAAACAAGCTCTGTTAAAAGGGGTATATATAAAAATATGGTATTTGAACTAGCCCCTATGATCAGATTACTGTGATGGCTGAGAAATATATATATATTTTTTTACTCAAAAAACATTATTTTTTATTATAAGGGTTAAAACAGATGTGCCATTTACTATCTTATTAAAACAATGGTACTTATCTGCAAGAATAATATTCAATTTATTAATGTACAATACAAAAGAAATGTAAAAAGTATAAAGAAAAAAAATGTAGGAACAGGGTTTTTGCATGTTTCACAAAGTAAACTTATGACATTTTTAAGACCATTATGAATAAAATTTTAGACTTATACTGGGCTAAATGCTAAAGATTATTTGAAATAACCCAGTTAGAAAAGATTTTCACTTGCCCTATCAAAAAATAATAAAAATGTAATGCATTTAATAAAAATAGTTTAAATAATAGTTTTGTTTGAATATGTTTTATTCATTATCAAAATATCCATTAACAAACCCTTTACCTCTAACCAAGAATAGAGCAAAACATAGCAGTCGATTTCTTCAGTCTACAATAACAATAATAATTTAATAATGATAAAAAATAATAGATCAGGTCAGTATAACAGCAGTAAATTATTGGAGAACATTTACGCAAATGTAACTTCAAGGAAAATAATTTAATGCTGTTTTTAAATAAAAAGTTACGTTTTTTTTTTTCCTCGAGATTATGATTGATGGTGATTATATGGATGTTAATGAACAGATTGGGTAGCTATACGTAAGCAAAGAAAAATTAAGATCTGTTAAAAAGATTTACAATCTACAACAAAACTATTCAGTACATTTAGGACTTTTTAAGGCCTAAAATATACTTTTGAGATTTAAGACATTTTAAGAACCCAAGAAATAAAATAAATATTTAAATAAAATAATCAAAATTTTAAATAAATAAAAATTGCAAGCATACAATTCTTCAATCACTTTGGATCAATTGCAAAATGCATCTGTGCTTAATTAAAAGTATTAATTTCTTTCAACTTTTGAATGATAGCATATTTAAAACATATCCCACATTAAGTAATATAAAAAGTAACAATTCAACCCAAAATAAAAATGTTTTTAAATGTTCTAAACTTCAGACAATCCAAGACGCAAATCAACAGCAGTCAGCACCTCAAGAGTTACAGAGCATATGCAGTGCTCAGCATAAAGTACACCCCTCACAAATCTCTTTTAAATTCATATTTTTAACAGGAAGCTATACAATATTATATTTCTGCATATACAACAGATTAGTGAATACTGAAGCAAAATCTGGAGCTTATCTAACAAAATATCTTACAATAATGGTACAAAAACGAGTACACCCAAATTTATATGTTTAGAAAAATATTAAATAAAATGTAAAAAAAAGAGAAGCAAAACAATTGAAAATTTTTGTTGAATTTTTTAATACTTTGCTTGAATTTAATTGTATTATCTTTCAATTTCTAAATATGTCTGGTGACAAAAATATTATTGTAATAAATATCTGTTTAATAAAACAGTAAATGCACCAATGTAAATAGCCAATATTCACTTAGAAATGGATAAATATATTCACTTTTCAAAATGGGGTGTACTCAATTATTCCAAGCACTGTAATTCAGCCATACCGAAATACTCTATAAAATTTACAATACAAAACAAAATAAATACTCTATACTCACGATACTTAGTGTTTGAAATGTACCAATCAACGCAAAAGATTGAACATTATTTAATCATATCACCAGCCACAGGTATCCTATTTGCTGAGCATGTATGTTTGTGTGACTTTCATCTGCTGCCATTGACTTGCATTTTATGAATCAATTTGAGCTTAAAATCTTTTTTAATGTTGTGCAAAAGAAAAAAAACCTAGAATTGCCTCGGTGTGAATAAGTAAACAGCCAATTATAATGCAACTTGTGTTTTAGAAAATTGTGTTAATGTTTACAAGGCAGACAACTGACCGGCTGATCTCTACTTGTCTCTTCTGTAGCTCTGCATCTTTCTGAGCGATGGCCTCCTCTGCCACAGCCAGGATCTCTCTCCTCCTCTCCACCTCCTTCCTGCGCGCCTCCTGCACCGCCTGCATCTCCTCCTCCTCCAGACGCTCCTGTGTTTGCTTCAGACTCTTCTGTAGTGCTGAAAGCTGAGTTTCCTTTAAAGTTAGAGCATTCTCTCTCAGTGCAAGTTCAGCCTCCTTTCCAGACAGCATGAGGTGTGTTTGGTTATCTCTCTCTTTACTTTTAAATCCAAGAGTGTTAGGGTTTGTCAGCCCCACCTCCTTATCTTCAAGCCCCTCCTTCTCCTTCTGAAGGCATGTAATCTTCTCCTCAAGTTCGGCTTTGACCTTACATAAGCTCGTGACCTCAGCTTGCAGTTCAGAGTTGAGTTTTTTGAGATTTTCATAGTCAGATGTGTGTTCTGCTTTCTGTCTCATTAGCGCAATTTCCTTTTCAAGAGTCAAGATGTGTTTGTTCTTTTCTCTCAGTTCAAGATCTCGCTTAGCCATTAGTGATTTAGCAGCAAACGCACCTGTAGTGTTGCTACATCTGGATGCAACTGCTACGTTCAGATTGCTAAAATCCACAGCCGTTGCCATCTGTTTGCTTTCCAATGTTGTCTGACAAACGTCTTCTTTCAGAATATGTTCCTGTGACACTCTTTCATCCAGATTTGACTTTTGATCCTGAATGCACACTTGTAATCTGTGGCATTCCTGCTCAAGGTCTGTGATCTGCTTGTCTTTTTGTTTGGCTTCAGCAAGGCAACACTCCAGCTGACCTTTGACCTCATGAAGGGCGGAGTCTTCCCGCCCATCATCTGCTTCATCTTCAGGCATTTTCAAGTCCTCCGGGGGGCCTACAAAGAATTGAGAAAACTTTATAAGGTATGTATATATTTATATTGGTTTTGATGTGTCTGTGGCATGCAATTTTACTGTGTATGGTCTCAAAATAGATCATTTAACAAATTCATATTGACATTCAGATTAGCTTAGTACAACCAAGCATATTTACTACTATTGGTCTGGCAACAAAGCCAGTAATTAATTTCATCTAGAGTGCACTACTTGCACATCGGGCAGTAAAATAAATGTTCAATCTGAAGATAAAAGAGAATTGGAAGCACTCAGTCTGAAAGCTTCCTGTTTATTCTCAGGAAGCACCTCATGTGTGTCTGGGACACTTTGATATCATGAGAAACATTCCTCTCTTTTTGAGAGGAAATAGAAGCATCCTTGACACTGCATGTTCTTATATGACCTACAGTGCTTTTAAGTTTGTGCAATGTTCTCCATGTGCAAAATAAAAATACTTTATTCAGTCGAGCTCATAAAAACAGTACACTTCACAGAAGTATTTCAGAATACAGGGCTTAATATGCATTGGGGTAACTTTCCAAAACACGTTTATTATGATTATTTCTTTACACTCGAAAGCCTTCTTCGAGTTCTGAGGTATTGACGTCCTTTGGCCCGATTCTCTCGGCCAGCAGCTCTGGTTGTGACAAACGACGGGAGGGCTTTTTCGGGATGAGGAGCGGAGTCTGTACCTTTCTTGAGCGGGGGCTGTCCTTCAAGCCCCTCTCCTTCCTGACGTCGCTTTCTGGTTTCATTCCGGGAGCTGAGGGGCTCTTTAATGGTGCAACAGCACTGGATGACCTCCTTTTGGACAGAGTCCATTTGAGCTCTCTGGAAATTTGTAATAAAAATAAATAAATAACTAAAATGTTTAATAATTAGGATGATAAATTTACACTGTCTTTTTTAGGCTTATTTTGGTCCAAATCAATCTATATTGTGTTATGTAGAAAAACTAGAATATATATTTTTTCATTACAGTAGTTCATGGTATCAAAAAGCTGTCAAACTCAATATAAAACAAAATTAATTATCACTAAACAATGATAGTTTTTGACAATCCTTGAACTTTCACAGAAAAAATAGACTACTGTTCAAAAGTATTAATGATATTATTTGCAATTAAGCTCAATGTGTTTTCACAACTGATATTACTAATAGAATAAAGAAATGATCCCCCACCACTAAATCAGAACATTATATTAAATATTTCTGAAGAATCATATAAGACTGACGTAATGACTGATGAAATATTTAGCATTGCCATCAATGGAATAAACTACATATTTTTCTTTTACATAAGAATAATTGGTAACGCTTTATTTTGATGGTCCATTTGAGTATTAGTAGACTGTCTACTTAATATCTGTAGATACTGCTCCTTCAACAGACATTTAACTGACTATAAAAGACTTTGCAAGTACATATCAACTCAACAGTCTGCACAACAGTACTTATAACCTAATGAGAATTTGTTGGCATGTAGATGCAATGCAATGAAATTCAACAAACGGACTCAAATTAAATTGTGACTGAATAATTTAGCTAAATATTCAAATTTACCAAGTTTTAAAATGCAGTAATATTCTACAATATTACGGTTTAACTATATGCAAACCAAATAAATGCAGACTTTCAAACTTAAGTGAAACAGTAGCATGCATCTATTAATGCCGAACAGTAAAAAGTCTATACATTCACTCACATCCTCAGCCTTTCTTTCTACATGCTGGTCCAAAGTAGCCTGGAGTTTGGCAATCATCTCATCCTTCTGTCTGCACATGTCACTCAGATTAAATTCTCTTTCCCTGTGGCTCTCCAGAGTCTAAAATCAGCACAACATCACTACTAAATGCACAATTTCAGAGGAAAACCAGGGATTGCTTGTGTAAAACAGTTATGCATAAACTGGCAGTCTTGTCCTCATTTTGCATGTTAAAGTGGCAGAAGCCGTTTACGGTGGTGTTGTTTACCTTCTTCACCTCCTCCAGTTCATCTGACAGCCGGCTCTGGGTTTCAAGCTCTGTGAGGGAGTATGGGGTTTGATGTTAGATCTAGTGATTAGGAAGCCTGGTAGGTTGGTGAGTGAACTAATCAAGCGTATGTGGTTACAGTTTTCCTGTAAAAGCATGCAAATTTAATAATAGGGGGCTCTCAGAACTTCTGGTTAAAGATTATGCATAGAAGTCTGGACCAACAAAAAATACATTTGTGAGCTTTTGAGGGTGTAGAAAAAATAAACATTGCCAATATGAATTAATTCCCCCAACATTTTACGATTTAAGCCATTCTAAAGCTTTAATTTGTGCAGGGGCCAATAAAGACTTTTTAAATGCCTGCATTAATAATAATTTTGCAGGTTTTATGTTTTGAGAGGAAAATAGCTTTTTGATAACTGGAAGATACCAAAACCATGAGAACCCTATATTGTAGGGGTACAACAATACAGACTTCTCATCATTCGGTTTGGTTTTCTGGTACACTTTCAGAACAGTTCAGTACATAATATGTACTATAAAAAAATAAATAAAATAAAAAATTCTGTACAAAATAAATACAATGTAAAAGATAATAGTAAAACAAACCTAACACAGTAGTTTTCAGTTTCATAAACTCACTCACTGGCCACTTTATTAGGTACACCTGTCCAACTGCTCGTTGACGCAAATTTCTTATGAGCAAATCACATACCAGCAACTCAATGCATTAAGGCATGTAGACATGGTCAAGACATGCATCAGAATGGGGAAGAAAGGTGATTTAAGTGACTTTAAACGTGCTGTTGTTGGTGCCAGACGGGCTGGTCTGAGTATTTTAGAAACTGCTGATCTACTGGGATTTCCATGCAAAACCATCTCTAATGTTAAAAGAGAATGGTCCAAAAAAAGAGAAAATATCCAGTGAGCGGCAGTTCTGTGGGCACAAATGCTTTGCTGATGCCAGAGGTCAGAGGAGAAGGGCCAGAATGGTTCGAGCTGATATAAAGGCAACAGTAACTCAAATAAATACTTGTTATATCCGAGGTATGCAGAAAAGCATCTCAACATTTCCAACCTTGAGGCAGATGGGCTACAGCAGCAATAGACCACATTGGGTGCCACTTCTGTCAGAAAGGAATTGGAAACTGAGGCTATGATTGGCACAGGGTCACCAAAATCGGACAATAAAAGATTGGAAAAACGTTGCCTGGTCTGATGAGTCTCGATTTCTGCTGCGACATTCGGATAGCAGCATCAACAACAAAAGAATGGATCCATCCTGCCTTTTATCAACTGTTCAGGATGGTTGTGGTGGTGCAATGGTGTGGGGGATATTTTCTTAGCACACTTTGGACCAATTAGTACCAATTGAGCATCAAGTCAACGCCACAGCCTACCCAAGTATTGTTGCTGACCATATCCATCCCTTTATGACCACAGTGTGCCATCTTCTGATGGCTGTTTCCAGCAGCATAACGTGCTATGTCATAAAGCACGAATTATCTGACTGGTTTCTTAAACATGACAATGAGTTCACTGTACTCAAATGGCCTCTACAGTCATTAGATTTCAATGCAATAGGGCACCTTTGGAATATGGAGGAACAGGAGATTCACATCATGGATGTGCAGCCGACAAATCTGCAGCAACTGCATTATGCTATAATGTCAATATGGAGCAAAAACCCTGATGAATATTTTTAGTACCTTGTTGAATCCACAAACGACTAAGGCAGGCCTAAAGGCAAATGGGGGTCAAATCTAGTACTAATAAGGTTTACCCAATAAAGTGGCCGGTGAGTGTAAATGAAATATAACACTGCATATTGTATATGTTCTTCACTATATATATATATATATATATATATATATGCATAAAAACGTGCTGGATAAGTTGCCGGTTCATTCCGCTCTGGCGACCCCGGATTATAAAAGGGACTAAGCTGAAAAGAAAATGAATTTTACACACACACACACAATATATATATATATATGATATTATACCAAGTATTGCAGCATCCCTAGTAATTGGTAACACACAAGGGGAAGGGGATGCACCACAATTTTGTGAAAGTGTGAAGGTCCATATTTTTATAGACCTGCTCATCTTCAAAAGATTCTCACCCTTTGTTTTGAGCAACAGCTGATTCTGAGATATGCTGAGCTGTTCTGAAAGTTCTGTGACCTTTTTCTCAAGGTCATGCAATGTCGCTGAGACTCTGGGATCAGAGGTCACCAAGCAGGACTGGGCAGCCTGGGCATCATGTCTGATTCCTGCCAGGTCACCACTCATAGAGTCAAACAGGCTGTCTAGAGAGACACGTTTCTCCTCCTATACATGCAAACAAACACAAAAATCACCTTCATATCTGGGCTTAATAATAACAAACAAATTAAATTGAACACAGAAAGAGAGACAACTCTTAATTTCCATCATCAAAACTACAAACTATTAATCAAACTCATAAAAACCTCTGATTTGGCCACAGTTGAATTCATACGGTCATCCTCCATAGCCGTTTTTTCCACTAGGTTTTTGAGAATCTCCAGTCTCCGTTCACACCGTTCCTCTATCAGCTCCCGCTCTCTGGACATACGTTCACTAAAATAAAAAGAGGCATGAAAATAAAATGAAACTGTTCAGTTAACCATAACATGGACTGTCATTTTTTTATAATTACACATAATTAAGCAAGGGAGCTTGTAATCTCTGACCTGTAATCTTCCTGCATCTGGGAAATCAGTTCTGAGAATTCTTTTGTCACTTCATCTCGAACACGTGCTTCTAGGGTTAAGAGTTCGGCTTGTACTGCTGTCAACTGCTGCTGAGTATTCACTATTAACCGCTGCTGGCCCTTTACATGGCAAACACAATAAACAGCCATACTGAAGGAGAAACCTCACTGTCATACAATCAAATAATGCAGCAACACTATAAAACATCAGATATAAACAAATATGAAATGATAGCTGATTAAGGTTAAAACTAAAAATACCACAGATGTGATTTAAATGGATAGTTCAAGCTCAAATGTTCTTATTTTATTACCCTTGACTAGTTCCAAACCTGTTTGAGTTTTTGTCTTTTGTAGAACATAAAGAAATATTATTTTGAATAAAGCTGGAAACCCGTAACCATTGACAGCCACAGTAAAAAAAATTAAATAAAAAATACTATGGAAGTTAAAGATCACCAGTTACCTCATTACATCATTTTTGTACAAAAGTACAAAAACTGTTTTGAAACAAGTTAAAAGTGAGATATCAGAATCTTTATTTTTTTGGCGAAACTATTTATTAAAATTGTAAGATGCCAAATCTTACCTCATAAAGCTTTTTATTGATTTGCACAGTCTCTGTACATTCATCTTCAGAATTTAGTAAGGTGTCCTCGATTTCGCTCTGGTCTTCATACTCGTCCTCTGAGTCAGAATCTTCCTGGACATCCTCAAGACTTGGGTCCCATCGTACTAATGAGCTGCGTCTCATTTCCCGGCAATCAGCGTTGTTGATTATGAAGGACACCTCTCTTGCACTCCTTTTCACTCCCACTGGGATGTTCTTAGTGGTGAGGACCACCACCTAAAAAACATGCTTAAATTTAACCCAAATAAAGCTATAAGAAACTACTCAGGAAAAAATATAAACAAATAATTATTTACTACAAGTGTAGAATGCACTGCCTTTAAAAAAAATGGTTGACTCATAAATAAGTTACTCACCCCCCAAACCTTCCTTTCTTCTGCTGAACACAAATGAAAACTTGAAAAAGGTTTTAAAACATGATTGGTGACCACTAAGCTCCACAGTATTTTCCCTTAGTATGCAAATCAGGGGTTTCCATCACATGATGGGTACCCCAAGCTTTTATTAAAACTTTGTTTTATGCAGAAGAAATTGATCTGGAGGTAAAATGAACTACCCCTTTACAATTATATGAATTTAAAAAGTTATCAATTGCTCATCCTTACATCATTCCAAAACTATAACACATTAATTTAACTTTGAAACACAAAGATTTTTTTTTTATGAAACCAGAAGTATTTCTGTCCTCCATTCCACCAAATATGGAGATCATAAATGTATCCTTAAAACTTATTGATATGTAGGCCTGTTACAATCAATATATGAAGAGTTCAGATGCAAAAACCTTTAAGCGTCATCTGAAATATCCATAAAAGAATAAACATTTTTCTCAGCCTCCTTTGTGTTATCGCTTTGAGATATTTTACTTTAAAAGACCAGAAAAAAAAGACTTAATGTTTGCCATAAAATAATATTACTGAACCTACACGAAGGAGCCTGATAAAAATGCTAATTTTAGAGGAAAATTTCATATGGCATTTAGAGTATTTTGTATCTAAACTCTTCATATTGACATATTGAATTTAGATTCTTCTATGCATACAGAATTATTTTACTGGCATTCAAACATATATAAACTGCACATCAAATACGGTCATTTAAAGATGCCATAACCATCTTTTCATAACGTCACGTTAGAAGATTTTTTTTTTCTTCATCTTACAATCTTTTTATTTAAACATTTTTTTTTTCTCAAATTATTTAAAGCTTTTATTTTTACAATTGATGTCTCAAAATCTCATTTTTCATTTTACATATCAAAAATGATAAATTATTAAAATGAGGTTACATTAATTGACATGTCAGTAATGAGATCACCTCCTTTCTGGAATGCATAATACAGCATTTTTTGTGTTTTACATGGATCTGTGTAAATAATTTTGATTAAGAGTTGTTTGTAGAAAATAAATAAATAAATAAATAAATAAATAAATGCAAATGAAAATAAATTCTGTTTCTATTAAATAGATCTCAGGTGCCCTAAAGCCACAGATGAAAAGTCACACGGCTGAATAACTGATGACAGAACTTAAACGAGAGAGATCAAAACCTAATAGGGTGTCACAAACCTTCTGAGCCACGGCAGAGAACTTGAGCACATTCAGCGTCTCATCATACATGGAGGAGCACTGATTAATGTTTACAATCATACAGGCTGAGCCCCGGCCTGTGAAGTAGCCCTGCAGATAGTGAGTGAGTTTACTCTCTCTGAACGGAACATGCTGTCTGAAAGGACACACATAAAAAAAGAATGATTAAAAGACAGAGGAGGAAAAAGAAAAGAAAAAAAAAGAAAATTTGTATACCTAGCCTGTTGGTTATTCCTTAGTGCATTAATGCACTTTCCAAGACTGAGCAGAGAAGTATTGATGTTGCCAGCCTCTTTTAGCCGTTCACCTTTATTTTGAGTCTTAGCACAACGCTCTGATCCAGCCAGATCACACAGTGCCAGCCTGGAAGGAGAATATTTACTTTACAAACCATTAGGCACAACCCAAACACCATGCAGAGATAGACACTCACTCGCTGACTGACTCCACTCTAGGTATTCCCACATCCTCCACCTTCAGTATTCGAACAGAGAAAATACTGTGGCTAAGAAAAGAAATCAAACAAAGTAGATATGGACATGAAATCAGGTGCAAATGGGCCCACTATGCAAAAATGGATGAACAACAGGAAGTTGCAGAACTTTTATGTTGTCCTTCAATACTATAGTGTACCTTCTGCTGGAGAGCAGGTTGAGTTTAGTGCTAGAGATGCTCTGATTTCTTTTGCCCAGTTTCATCACTTTCAGGGCTTCCTCCGCACTGCTCACCTGGACCCATTTTAGATCTGAAGATTTAAAAAGCACAGTTATGAGCAATGACACAGTCTGCTTCAGATACACACCCCATATCAGGCTTCAATAAGTATTCAATAATAAACAATAAGTCGTAACACATGAGAATTCTGTTAAACCTATGCAGTTTTTTTTTTTGCTGCTCTAGCACCAGCACCTGGCCAGTTTGAGCTATTACACAGTATTTCCTTTAAAAAAAAAACGTCACTTCATTACTTACACAATTTTAAATTAAATGCTTTTTTAAATTAATTAATTAATGAAGGACTATTGGAGCATAATTACATCCCTGCAAGGTCACCATTTTAATTCCTTGGTAATCCATGAAGCGATGCATAAAGATAAATGTAAATAAAGATGCTTTATTTGCATTTGCATTCTAGCCTTAAAGGGATAGTTCACCCAAAAATGATTTACTCATCCTCCACTCATTCAAAACCTTTTTGGGTTTCTTTCTTCTGTTGAATACAAAAGATAGAAGAAAGAATGGTGAAGCAGCCATTGAGTTCTGTAGTATTGTTTGTTCCTACCATAGATGTCAAGAGCAGCTGATTACCAACATTCTTCAAAATATGTTGAATTGTGGTAAAGCCACCTTAGTGTGAGTAAATGGTGAGGAAATGTAATTTGAGTGAACGATCCCTTTAAAAGCCACATTAATTGTTTGCATTCAAACACTATTAGATATTAGAGATCATGTTTTACTTTGATGCACCATCAGTTCCATCTTAATTTGTTGACAGGATAAGAGGAAGGTCCTGTATTCCTTTACCTTTAATGAATGAGTTTCCTTTGACATCCTGACAAAGGCGAAGGTTGGTTTTCCGTGAAGCATTGCTTGCATGCTGTTCTAGCAAGTCATGGATGTTCTCATTGTAGATCTCACAGAACGAGACCCAAATAGAAAACCTAGTGTGCATGTCCATCTCCACATCCAAAACCGCAGAGTTTACGTCAGAGAGCATGGAACCATCTAACAGATAGAACATCAGCCAGATAAACAGTATAATCAGACTCCCAAGCACAACTTTGATGTTTAGAAATAATAAATCGAATTATTTTGTTTACCTTCAATATCAGACTTTGAGCAATGGCCAGAAATACTCCTCTGAGCATCAGACTAAAAAAAAAGGATCAATAAGTCAGACCAAACATCCCTGTTAAAAATCAAGTGTTGTCTGTGATTTTACATTAAGTGTCTGTCTGCATGTACCAGGTCTTGCTTACACTTGGTATATGCCCAGTAAATGTATATTTGCTATTAAGGTGCATTTTTTTTTTACAATTAGACAATTCCAAATACAATGCAAAGTTGTTAAATGAGGTCTAGCCAGTCCACTCCTAAAGGTAGTAAAATCTAGGCCTGTCACAATAGCAATTTTATTTTTACAATATATTGCACCAAAACATAATGCGAAACAATATTATTATTATTTTAAGACCATTTTTCGCCACTCATTATATAATGCCAGAATGACTATATAAAATCATCACAATGCAAGTACACTCTGCCAAAAACAAAAAATATTTTATTCTTAAGAATATTTTCTTTAATTAGTCATTTCATAGTCCTAAATTATTAATAAATGTTAAAAAGTGCAAGGCAAAAAGCAACAGTGCCTACAATAGCTGGTACCAGATCAATTTTCAGTTGTTAGGCACCCACATGAAAATATACTATAGAAAATTATAGTAAAAACTAAGGAGATAGAGATGTTGCACAATCAGCTAAATTGTAGCTAGATTTTAATTTTTTTTATTTTGTATAGGTCATATATATTACATCACCAAAAATGATTGAGGTCATGTCCATGTGTTGTGCCGATATATATGTTGAAGTTGAAAAAAAAAGATGCTACTGTTGTTTAAGTCATATTTACATGCAATTTCAGACCGAATATTTAAAGTAGTCTAGTAAACAATATAGGGAGCATGTCAAGGCTAAAAAAATGAATGAATGTGCGAATATAAAACCCACCCATAGAGTTTCCAAAGCATAGGAAATCAGAAAAGAAACAGACTAAAAACAGCACGTTAACAGGAATGTGTCTCCCTCATCTATTTATGATCCAATCAACCATGCATCAATGGATCTTAATACTAAGGGTAATCATGGGCTCAGAGTTCAATCGATCATGGATTATGTTAGGCATACTTGACAAGAAAGTATGAAAACATAAACAGTTAGAGCCAACCAATCCATACAACCTCAATAGCCGTATCACTTTTAGTATTATGTTCACATCAGTGTGCAAGTCCATCCTATCACAGTTGCATTCAGGTATTATTTGTGGGTGTGCACACAAGTTTAGAAACCAGTAGTCACATTACCAAAACAATCCAAACTAGTCAAACAACTCCAAGCGAGAGTGAAAGCCCCCTCAAACACATTACAGCTTTACTGCACCTCTTTGAAAAGCTTGAGCAGGTTGCGTTTGCTGGCTGCTTCCTCATTTTGTTGCTCTTTTGTAAGTCTGATGAAATCTCGGCACCTCTGGGGTTTCAGGCACATCTGGGTAAAGATGCGACCCTCCAGACTACTGAAGATCATGTTGAGGGAACGAGGCAAGATGCCCGGATTAGTGTCTGGACCTAATAAACACAAAATCAGGATATAATGCTTGAATTTGAATGTTTGACAATCTTTCTATTTGACCCACAAGGAATGGTCTGTTGCTACTGTACTTCTGTTTCATCGTAGCTTTAAGCATCTGTAGCTGAATCAACACAAACACTATTTTAAATGGAAAACATACCTATGTAATATTTCATTGAATGTAACAACTCAGAAACAACTTTTATTACTTGTTAAATGGATAAAAAAAGTTAATTCTTCGGTTGTCCAGACAATCATAGCACCATATCAGTTACAACAAAAATATAAATACAAAATATACCAACCTAAAAAAGTAAAGGTCTTCCCAGCATTGGTGACACCATACGTAAAGACCAGAGAATTTTGCCCTTCTAGAACATTTCTGACAAGTCCGTTTACTGTGCCATCAAATATATCCTTCTGTGTAGTGTCTGGACCATAGACCTAAAAATACCACAATATTTAAGATTTAACAAAGATATTGGCTTGTTTCAGCGATTATTATTTAGGAGGACTGTGTTGATGCGTCTGCTTGCCTGAGAGAACTGGAAACGCTGAGCTGTAACTGGCACTGATTTATCACTGAGCCTGGCAGACAGAGATGTTTGTGGAGGTTTGAGAAGGACAGTGTCTGGACGCTGAATGGTCACACAGTCCTTCAAAAACAGAGAGAAGAAACAGATACATTTGAAATATTAACAACAGTTTTTCAGGAAAAATGTCTCCCCAAGCTTAAAAAAACATTTCTTCTCAAAAAGAGTGGGCACTGGAAAGTTGTGCAATACACTGCAAAAATAAATAAATATGAATATATCTTTAACCTGTGATTCTCCATTCTCAATCTCAACTGCTGAAAATGGTCTTATCCTAAGATACACCTTCAGATGTTCCTTCAAGTCTGACGAGTCCTTAAAAAGTAACATTACAGCTCAAACATTTCATCAAAAATAACAAAAGCATACATAGTGGGTACTCAAAAACATAATGATTGAATAAACACTCACTTATTAATACTTATATAATACAAGAATGACTTCAAAACAACATTATAAGTATTTCATTGTAAGAATAAATTTATGAAATTTAATTCTTAAGAAGAAATTCCAAATGTGCGAATATAAAACCAAATTTACCTAAATTTGCCATCTTACCTGCAAATCTGAACAATCAAACTCTGTGGACAAATTTCTCCTTAGATCTTCTACAACTAATATAGCAGGTCTTGCTGGATCATCCTTTAGCCCTGACTCCATCATCTTGATCTGAAACAACGCATAAACAAATAAGATGTCATGAAACTGTATAGGGAGAAAAAAAGCCTCAAATGACAGAAAACAACCTGTGACCAGCCTTTAATGATTCAGATTATTAACATTACCATAACTTACTTCCATATAAAACACCGCACATATGTTTAGATTTTCCCGAATGTAATCTCTTACGTATAATACCACAGCTGACTAACATTTCACAACTATGAAATATACTTTACATGCGAAACAACGCAAAAATGGGACATTTAGACCCTCCCAAATGTACAATCGCGGGCGTTCATTGACTAAAACCACATATACAAACAAAATAGCTAAGCATGCTAACTGAAACAAGTTCATTTGGTTGACTTACAGAGCTGTCAACTGAGAAAGTGCGTATTTGACTGTTTTGACTTCGCCGTAATGTTTTATTTGCGCTGCCTCATCTCCAAACTGTCGCGCGTACTTATTTTCAAATTCTACCAATCGGAAACGCGACAGCAACGGCAAAGGCTGCTGGGAGCGAGTGCTAGTGCACGTCATAGTGGGACTATAAATGCGCAGGAAAGCATAATGCGCATTAATAGCGCCGTTTTTTTAAAACATTTTTATTCATGTTCAACTCGCAAAAAGAGATAACAAACACGATATTAACTACTTTCAGCCTAAGTACAAAGGAAAGCAAGCAAATAAGTAGGCAAATTAAGACATAAAATACTTCAGACTAATAACGAAAGAGTGAATTAATAAATTAAACTAAAGTTTTCACAAACTGTGAATGAAAATAAAAACATTAAACATGAAAAAATACACATCACAAATGTTTATAAGGTTTTTATGTACAATTAATAATATTATAATATTTATTTTTAAAGATGTTGTAATGGTTGATCTAAATCAGAGACAATGACCAAAGTAGGACCCATGGGCCAAAGTTGGCCCAGCATTGTAATCTTTTTGATTTGGCCCACCATACCATCTAGAAGAGAGTGAAAATGATGGAGAGGGTTTTGCTTTATTGCTGAGCTACAAAAAAAAAAAAAAAAAAAAAAAAAAAAAAGAAATAAAAAAGGAAAAAAAAAGCCAAATTAAATGCTTCAATTAATTATTGTAAATAAATCAGATTTTTGAAAGTGTAAATAGCCTACTGCATTCTGTTATAATTTTTTTTACTGTAATAAGTTAATTATAAAATGTAATTTAAAAACATTATTTTGTATTAGCTAATATAAAGCAATGTTTTCTAGCTACCTTTAGATTTTATTAAATAAATTAGGAAATTAACCATGACAATTATATTTACATACAGTCCATAGCCTCAGTCAAGTTTGGTTTTTGGCCCTTTAAAAGAAAAGGTTTGGGCACCCTTGATCTAAATAAAAAAGAATGAATTGGGCTTTAGTTTGTGTATTTAGATGTATAGATGCAAAACTAAAGTTACTGTACATTTAAAGTCTATTTTTGACATATACAAGAACTATATAATAAAGAAGTAAAATAAAGCATTACTGATGAACATGCATTCATATAAAATACAAATTGGTACACCAAGAAGCACACAGTGATGCATCTTAAAACATTTTTTTGAAATAAAAGACAGTTTAATTTCTTTTAGTGTTTAAAAAAATACAAAACACATTATTCAATGTACATTTCATAATGGATGTCCATTTACCCTGTACTAAAGTCTTTCACAAATCCTGTCCAAAATTACAAATCATTTACATTAATGATATCCATCACAATAAACATTCTCAGACCCGCATTCACATTCGGTTCCATTTCTGCACACTTATATAGTTCAGTCTCAAATCTGTCTAGACATTTTCCTGTAAAATCAAACAGTCATGGACATTTTTCAAATGCAGTCACAAGAAATTAAATTAATATTAAATAAAAATAAATACACTTAAAAGCACACAAACATGTTGATGTCTTGTGCCACTCCCTGAAGATTTGTTCCTCTCAAAATCAAGCGAGAAAACAATATTTACAATATTTAAATAACCTCATCAATATTTCAGACGCTCCATCGCCAGCAATTAGCGTCATAATTATGTAAATTGCAAAGTAATATTCAATTTTTATTGTTCATCAAGCAAGAAAGAAAGAAAGAAAAAAGGAAAGAACATCTGAAACCCTTCAGTGCATCAAATGCTGAAAAGTTGTTCATCTGACTTTGGAGCTTCACATTCATTAAGGTTATTTAGAATGTTTTTTACACCTTTTTGCCAAGACAGCAGAGTCTCCATTGGCGTCTTTCCATCCTGTAAATGACAAAGTATATTCATTAAATATACATATTGCATATAATAGATTATGATACGTATACATATAATAATCTTCACATATTTCAAATGATAATTATACTACTAAAATCTCCAAACAAAGCATTAGACAATTATCTCATTGCTCTCTTATTACCGGCCTTGCATTATATTATATTATATTATATTATATTATATTATATTATATTATATTATATTATATTATATTATATTATATTATATTATATTATATTATATTAGATTCATTCATTCATTCACTTTCTGTTTGGCTTAGTCCCTTTATTTCCATCTCTGGGAAACATCCATACACACTCATAGACTACAGACAATTTAACCTTCCCAATTCACCTGTACCGCATGTCTTTGGACTGTGGGGGAAACCGGAGCACCCGGAAGAAACCCACACAAACACAGGAAGAACATACAAACTCCACACAGAAATGCCAACTGCCCTAGCCGAGGCTCGAACCAGCGACCTTCTTGCTGTGAGATTACAGCACTACCTACTTCGACACCACTTCGCGCTATATTATCATTCATTCATTTTCTTGTCGGCTTGGTCCCTTTATTAATCCGGGGTCGCCACAGCAGAATGAACCGCCAACTTATCCAGCAAGTTTTTACGCAGCGGATGCCCTTCCAGCGACAACCCATCTCTGGGAAACATCCATACACACTCATTTACAGACACACTGAGCGCCCACTGGCTCGAACCAGTGACCCAGCGACCTTCTTGCTGTGAGACGACAGCACTACCTACTGCGCCACTGCTTCGCCCCGGCCCTATATTATATTATATTATATTATATTATATTATATTATATTATATTATATTATATTATATTATATTATATTATATTATATTATATTATATACATTGTTCTCGAGAAAGTCAGTTTTGGGCAATAAAACACAATCCTGTAATGTAATGCCTCAAGCTGCCTCCAGAGGGCACCATGTCAACTTCAACGTCATGCAGTAAACAGTATGCACCCTGATTAAACTTACATTGTTTTTGGCATTTAGACTAGCCCCGTACATCATCAGCAGTCTAATCATTTTAAATCTGTTTATTCTCACTGCATCGTGCATTGGTGTGTCTCCGTCCTACACAAACACAAAATAGTGGCATTAGATAAGAAACCAATATGTGTTACATTACATTAATGCAAAATGTGTCTCTTTTCCTCAAGAGCTTTGCAGCATTCTTTGAGAAAGAAGTTGCAAAAATCATTCTTACCCTGTCTTTAGCATTTACATCAGCTCCACAGTGAATGAGATGCTCAGCACATTCATAATGTCCCGTCCGAACTGCAACATGGAGTGGAGTGCTGGATAGCTGGTAACAAAAATCGCAAAAGTCAGTCAAAGGTCCCCAGAAGTGCTTGGAAAGGTGCATCTTTATTCGATGTTTGACATAATCTCAACTAAAACATGAAGAGAGGGTGGGACATAGAGTACCTCCTCCCCTTTAAAAAGACAGCCAATAGCACATCTACTGAAAAGCAAAACAGAAGCTTCTTGAAGGGGTGGGGCATTTCAGATACTAGAGAGCCTTTGATTGGCCAAAATTTGATAAGAAACTGAAGTATGAGGTGACGTGGAAAAAAAATTGTGACAAATTGCAAGCTTTGTATGTTTATTTCAGTTTAAATATTGTAAACGTGAATTGTGTCACTGTTTTGGAGCACACTAGCTTATAGATATCTTTAAAACTAACAATAATCTTACTAACATCTAAGAAAATCATTTTTATTTCATGGGACATTCAGAATGCAAAGCTCTAGCTTGACACAGACACACTGAAAACTTTAAAAACAAAGAGGATAATTAAAAATGTATCATTGTTTGCTGAAAAAACTATTCTGTGAAAGATTTGTGAAAGTCATTATCGGTGTCCTTTGACCATCTGGTGTCTCATCCGCTTTCAGGAGCTTCATATCTACCTTGTCTCTGGAGTTGAATTTGGCTCCTTTATTGAGAAGCAGCTCCAGGGCAGGCAGGCTTCCACCTCTGCAGGCCCAGTGCACAGCTGTGGCATCCAGCTACGAATATGTGATAAACATATTGAATCTCAGAATTATGGAATAAAAAGAGAGTCATGATGATGTTCTTGTAGCTCTGATGTTACAGTCACATCAGCCATCTGTGCTACCTTATCTTTCTGATCCATGGATGCTCCACTCTCCAGGAGCTTCTGCATGATCTCTGTGTGACCTTGTGCACTGGCTTTATGCAGAGCTGAGCGCTTAAACTGAAAGAGAGAGAGAGAGAGAGAGAGAGAGAGAGAGGGGGAGGTTTACAGGGGATTGGTATACTTCAATTATTCATTTTCCTTTATTGTCCCTTTATTTATCAAGGGTCACTACAGCAGAATGAACCACCAACTTACCCAACAAATGTTTTATGCAGCTGATACCCTTCTAGCCACAACCCGTTACTGGGAAACACTCATACACTCTTGCATTCACATACATACACTACGGCTAATTTAGCTTATTCAATTCACCTATAGCAAGGCGACATGGTGGTTCAGAAGACTGAAATAACTGAGAAACTTGTTATGAGAATGAAGATGTCTGCATATTTTTGCCAGTCTGTCAGATAAAACTGCTTAAAACACTTTAATATTTAAAGAAAGTAGTTAAAGTTTGCATAACCAATGATCGATCTTATCCACCCGAAACCCACCCAAATAAATATGTAGCTTTTTTTACCTGATGCACGTATTAATGGCAGCACCTGCAGATAAAGCTGATAATTGATGTGCTTCGATTGTCCACTGTCACCGACATGACGGAACACGTCATGAAGATCAGAAAAGTGAAGGAAATGTGCTTGTGTCTGTGTGTGTGTATGTGTTTCTGTGTGTGTTTGTGTTTAGGGTAGTAGGGTCTTAAAAAGTCTTAAGCTTCGAAAACAAACTTTTAGGCCTTAAAAACTCTTAAATTCACTGAAAAATTGTCTTGTAGGTCTTAAATCAATTTAAATGGGTGCTAATTTTCCAATGTCCATGTAAAGCTATACCCAATCAGGCCAACACCCTTACAGTCAGCATCAATACATACAACAAAACTCTATTTAACAATATGGTTCCTCACAATAACGCTTGTAAGTTCTCCCATATGTGGTGAGGACACTGACCTGGACATATCATTGTACATTTAGCTTATTATAGTTTTAAAAGCTTGTCAAAGAAAAGTATGTGTGGTTTGCTTGTTTGACAC